CTTCCACATGTCGCTCACGGTGAACTCGGACGTCGCGGCGTCGAAGTGGGTGACCACGATGAGCGCCTGGTCTTTCTTCGCGAGCGCGTAGCGGCCCAAGCGTTTCGTCGCGCAGGCAGTCACGGCGTGGAAGACGGCTTTCTGGTCGGAGTCGCTCTCCGCCGCGTCCGCGATGTAGTTGGTGATCGCGAAGCCGCCCTCGCGCGGCACGGTCTCGGGGTCTTTCGTGGCCTCTACCAGGGGGAGCGCGCCGCTCGCGCGGAAGCGCGCGGAGCCGATGGTGATGGTCAGCTTCCCGGTGGTGCTCAAGGAAATGCTGCGGGCGTTCGTGGGAACGACGCGGCTGTCGCTGTGCGGGGCGGGCAGCGGGGCGACGGCGTCGAAGTTCCGGGGGTCCGCGCGCACGATGATCAGGCGGGGGTCCGTGCTCGTCCTGTCGCCATCAACGCTCTTCGGGGCGCGCAGCGTGGCCCGAACGCGCGCCCGGGTCCACGTCGCGGACCCCTGTTCAACGTCGGCCTGGAATTCCGCCTTGTCCGCGCAGCCAGTCAGCGCGAGGGCGACCTTCTCCGTCACCTTGGCCTCCACGGACCCAGCGTGGTCGACCGTGCGCACGGATGCCCAGACGCGGGTCCCATCTTTTGTCAAGAGCGTCTCCGTGTCGCTGAGGGAGAATGACGCTGCCGGGATCTCGAACAGGGTGTCCGGGGGCGTCGTCTTGCTCTGGAGGAGCGCGTCCAGGACGGCCGCGTTGGAGCTGGTGGCGGGCCCGACCTTGGGGGGCGCATCGGGGGGGGGGGTGCGCTCGGCGAGAGCGCCATGTCTCAGCGAAACTTTGGGGCGGAGAACGGCTCCGGACGGGCGGCCGGCTGGGGCCAGCCAGATTTTCGTTGAGAAATGGTTGGTTTCAGGATCAAACTCTGGAAGGGGGGCACCAATGGGGTTTCGACGAGCATGGCCGCTATCTTGGGGCGCGTGCCTGTAGGCGCGGCGAAGGACGTGGACTCCCGGACTGACAGGTGCACGCCGCCACTGTCGGGGTGGACCAAGTACGCTCCGTGGATGTAGATGGGCTCTTTCTTCTGCAGTTGCTCTGCGCGGGGGGCGTTCTCCTCCCAGAATTTTAAGGTGATGCTGCTTCCGGCCTCGTTGCAGACCGTGGCCTCCACCAAGTTCTTGCCTTTGAATTGGGCTTCGGGAGAAACATCCGAGACGAACCCGTGGAGGTCGATCGCCTGGTCCTGCGAGAGGTCGAGGACATCCTGGACTCCCACGGGGGGCTCCAGCTCGTCCGGCAGCTTGTTGGCCTCCGGCGCGTCCAATGCTTTCGTGGTCATGGCCTTGTTGTTCAGCTGAAGTGCGCATGAGTGCGGGCTCCCGTGGAAGGCCTCTTTCTTGCGCACAAGCTTCAGCTTTGAGAGAGACCACGCGGATTTCGCGGTCCACTTGGTCGTCAATGCTTTGCTGACTCTCGTGCGCGCCGCCGGCGAGTCCCCGAAGATCATATGTTCGGCTGTGCAATAGAGGCCACTCTCGCTGATCAGCTTGCAGGTGAAGACCTCGCAGTCCTTCTTGGTCTTGCGCACCATCGGGTCCAGCACTCGCACGTGCGTGGTCTTGGCGCCGCAGTTGCGCTCGTTCACAGTCTCGAGCTTGTCCGCCATGGCAGGCTCAATCTAAGAGCGAGTGCTGGGCGAGATCGACGGTTGAGGGGCAATCAAAGCTCTCGTAAGAAGTCTGATGCTGAGGCAAGGGGGGCCGCGAAGCACCTGTTGGGCTGGTGCACTGCGCGCGAGGCCCTCAAAGAAAGGGCGGCAAGATTGAAATGTGGTGGGGCAGCGATGGGGCGGGGCGAGCACAGAAGCTGACTTCGGGTCCGAAAAATCAAATTTCTAAGCGAAAGTCTGGTAGGCAGGCGGCGGCCTCTGAATCACTAATTATGGCGTCTGGTGCGCCCGGGTATCCTTGGGGCCAGGGAGCTTGCGGGGATGCTGCCACGCTAAGAGATCGAACAAAAATCCGGGGCAATATTTGGCATGGGTGAGCACTGTTTTTCGCGCAATGCTGGGGAAGCGCGCTGACTCTGATCTGCTAAGGTAGAAGGCGTCGAATTGGCAGCACAGTTGTCGCTCGCAAGTAATGCAAGGACAATGCGGCGACACTGCTGGCGTGCGTCAAGGTGGCGGCCCTCGCGTGGAGGGCTCTTCACCGGCGTGCGGGTACTCGTACCAATTATGCCCCTCCCGCCATTGGTCGTGGACGCGGTGCCCGCGCAGGGGTGCGCGGTGGACGCTGTCGGGTAGATGGTGCGCCAGACGCCGCCGCATGGGCGAGGGAGGGTTGCCAATGTCCATCTGCATCGTACCCAGCGTTCCAAGCGTGAAGTTCTCGGGCAGGCGGCAAGTTGCGCAAATGGTGCAGTCCCCCGGCTTCCGAAGACGGTCGGTGAAGCACCCGCAGGCGAGCCTTGGCGCGTGCCCTGCTGACAGCGACGTAGAAGCCTTTTCTGTCCAAATGGGGCGGCCAAGGTCGCCTGGCCACGCTGAGCACCAACTCGTCGCACGTCTTGCCCTGTAGCTTTTCATCCGTGCAAGCGAACGCCAGCGTAACCGCGTGACACCGTATGCGGATGCGCTTGGGCGCGCGCTTGAGGATGCTGAACGACGAGGTGGCGTCGTAGTCCTCGACGTGGGAGGTGTATGCGATGGGAACGACCACGGACCCAGGAACGAGGGTCTCGATCCCAGCGCCGTCTTCGCCAGCGGGCAAGGAAATCTGGACGTTGATAGAGGCAGGGGGCTCCTCGAGGATAATCTCCCGGAAGCCGCTAGATGCAACAGCGTCCAAGAACACTCCCGGTGCATCGCCGTCGAAGCTGAGGGAGTGCAGGGAACCCATGGCCCCGTTGACGCAGAACTTGGCTGGCTGGATGTTGGCGAGCAGCATGGCCGGGGCCCCGCGCACGAAGCATCCCCACATGCCTGGCTCGTTCTCGTAAAGGCCGTCTAGGACATCAGCTGGTAGCATAGAGCAGTGGCGTCCGTGCAAGGGGTATCGCCATCGGATTAAGGGTAGAGAGTGCGCCCTGGCAAAGCGCTCGGCCTGGATCCTGTTGAGAAGGTACCGCTCGAAGTTGGACAGGACGCAGATGGGAGCGAAAGACCACGCAGGATGTGTCTGGATGTCGTGGGTGGAAACCTCGCGGAGCGAGTCTGTCAACCTCGCTGGAACCGGGGCGCCAGGGGTCGTGTCCCAGAGCTGCAGCAGATCCGTCTGGAAACCAGGGTCGTCGGCAGCTTGCATCTGCTGCGTCAGAACAGTGCGGCGAGCCCGTCGGAATATCTCGAGGCCCTTATCTGATGTGCTCATGGGGGAGTGCCGGACTGGCCTCGATAGGCCAGGCACGTCAGCGCTGGCGAGGAGTTCTGCGAGCGTCGTGGAGCTCGGAGGCGGTTTCTGCCAAAAGTCCCCTGCCAGGATGAGGGCGACGCCTCCAAAAGGGACGCCGTGGACACCGCGTAATCGTTGTAGTTGAAGGTCGATGTGGTGTAAGGCTGCCGGGACGAGAAAACTGGCCTCGTCGACGACGAAGACGAGCAGGTCGGCCGGGTCGCACATGGCGTCGGCGAAGTCCTTGCGGAGGAGCTGCAACGTGTCAGCGTCCGCGGGGCGGTCTTCAGCCAGGCAAGTGAAGTCAATTTTCAGTAAAGAACACAGCGTCGGCGCCCCAAAAGGCGCAGATGCGACTCCCGCCCAGGCTGTGATGGCCATGTGTCCCAAGTGCAGGCGTCGTAAGACGGCGTGCATCGCCTTCAAGAGCACGCTCTTTCCGACGCCCCCAGCTCCCTGGAGCAGATGCACTTGCCGGAGCCCTTGCTGTCGGAGAGAAGCGAGTGTGTCGTGGGGGTCGTCACCTCGTTGGCGGCCGGCAGCGAGGTGGCGCTGTAGTGCCAAATGCTGTCTTGCGAAAGCACGCTGTTGGGGGTTGAGAGGAGGCGGGGGGGGCAGCCTCCGGGTGGCGTGTTACGGAGGTCTGATTCCCAGTTGCGTGCGAGACGCATGAAGGTCTCGTCGTCGATAGGGTCGAACTCTGGTGGGTCGCCGTCCTCCGGGGCGGCGTCTGCGACGGGATGGCCCACGTGGCTCGGTGTGTTGGCGTCGTCGGAAGGCCTGCGTCGAGGCTGCTTGAGGTCTGCCAGGAAGGAGGCGATGTCGGTGGAGCCACTTGGGAAATGGTGGACGGGATGACCGTCCTTGGTCGGAGCCCCCCGTGGCCAGTGTGACCGAGGATCCGGCGTGGATGGTACGTCGGGTAGTGGTGGTAGTCTGTCGGTAATGTCGTCCGCCCATGATTCCATTGCAGCAGCTCGTTTCATGGCTCTGGAGTTGACGTCGGCGCTGGCAGCGTCGCGTAAGTTGCGGATGTCTGCGGCGGCGTCGGTCTCTTGATCCTTGCTGCGGCCAGGGGGAAGGGCTACGTCTGGACAGGAGGTCGTTTCGGACCACAGAGTGCGATCTCGCATGCGCCATTTGCTCATAATATCTGTCTTCCGGGTATTCGACGTGAGGGCTGTCGCCACATGGTGGATGCGGAACAAGCGGCCCTCCGCGATTCTCTGACTCTTCCCGTGCCGCACGGAGTCGGATGCAGGAGGCGCGGAGCCGTGGGCCGCGTCCTCCAGGCGGCGCTGATAAGCGCTCCAAGTGGTCGGGGTCGCGGTCTCCAGTTGGGCCGCGGACCAAGGTACGAAGAGCGCGGTGAAGTACTCGGCGTGGGCCACCTCCATACGCTGGCGCGCCTTGTTGCGCGGAGCGGAATCGGGGGGCAGACGGGGCGGAGGAGCTCCGACAAACACCGGCACGTCGAATTCGGATTTTTCCCTGATGACGCACTGGCCCGCCAAAGGGTGCGGCGGTTCGAGTTCGAAGCTCGGGTTCGTAGGGCGGCCCCTCTTGCCCGATTCGGCGGCTATCTTTGCCCTCTGTTCCGCGGAGACTTTCTAGATGCGCATCCCCATGACGAGCTCGTCGAAAGTGAGGTCGGCGAGTTGTTGGGACCGGTGCGCGTAGTGGTCAGCCTGCGATAATGCAATCGGCGTTCCGTCTGAAGTGGTGTAGATGCTGCAGGTGCCTCGGCGTGGATGGTCGCATTCGTCTGCCGCGTCGACGTCGTCAGGGTCGCCAGTGCATGCGTCGGCATCGCGTTGGCCCAAGGGCGAATCCTCGCTGTCGGGCGGATCGGGGGCGGGCGGAGGGTTGTCGGAGGACGAAGATGACAGCAGGGAGACCCCGGTGGGCAATAGACGTCTGAGGTGGACGGCGTCCCACACGTAGGCATTGACGCATGTGTGAGAATGTCCGCTTGACGCGACGCCGAGAGCGATCGCAGCCGCCTGTGTCGGGGCAAGCACGGCGGCACTGGAATTGAGAACTCGTTGTAGGAAGTGGCGAGTGCACCGTGCTGCGGTGCCTGCGTCGTCAGCCGAGGACGGGTAGAGGTCAATGTGACGACGAGCGTCCGCCAATACGGATAACGAGGCTGCCAGATCGTAAGCCTCTTTAACGAGGTACTTCACCATGTACATGCCGGCTCCCTTCGCAGCCTCCCCGGCACCGAGGTGCAGAGGTGCGGTGTTGCTCCGGATGCATCCCGAGAGGGTGGGGCTGAACTCCACGAGGGCCGCATTTCGGCATCGCATGCCGTGCCAAGCGAGAAGGATGGCACGAGCGTCGTTTTGACTACATGAATTCAGGCAGTCGTTCAGGTTGCGGCCTTGAGTAGGTCTGGACAAAAGGCTGCTGAGTTCGCGGCACACGTCTCGGAACATCCCGTGCGCTGCAGAGGGATCCAGTGACTCCAAATCGGCGCGGGGCATGTTCATGATGTCGCGCAACCGGCCTGAATCGGGTTCCACGTGTGGGCGAGCGTGCTCGTAGGAGAGGACGACGTTGGCAGCCCCATCACCAGGGCGAGGCCTGCGAGCCCAAAGTGCAGTCGCTGGTCGTTGTTTCGGGTCGTATCCTGGGGTGCAGTACTTGCAAGACCAGTCCACGGTGCCCTGCGCGGGTTCGTCGGGCAGGATTGCGAGGACGCGAGACTGGGGGACGGGGTGTCCAGAGGGTTTCGCCATGCGGCACCCGAGCTTGCCATTTTTGCCTTTGTGGCAGGTGGCCGCGTGTGTATGTAGTCCAGTGGTAAGAGCTGTGATGGCGGCATCTATGTGAAACTCTCGGACGGCTTCTGGGGTGGGCGTGTCGGTGGTCTGGAAGAAAGCCTGACGCTCCGCTGGTATACGCAACGTCCGGCGGGCCACGTCGATGGCGTGCAAGTCGGCTGGCACGTGGGCCGTATACATCGAGTCCAGGGCTGCGTGCACAGCGGCCTCCAAGCGTGGGTACCCAGCCACGTCGGCCAACAATGTAGGAGAGGCCCCTGCGATGACACCGGAGTGGAAGTGGAAGGACTTGCGGCCGTTTGTTTCGGTCACGAAATGCCAGGCCCATGGGGTTCCGAAGATGCCACGGTGGGGGATGTTCTCGTCGATGAGCTGCGACTTCCTCCGTTTGTGGTGCTGCGGCATGCCCACGAGCTCCGTGAAGATAGCCTCCGCCATCTGTTCCCACAGCAACGTGGTTGCCACGGGATTCAGAGTCGCCAAGCGCTGCAGGAATGCCTCGCCCATGGAGAACGTGTACGACTCGTCCGCGCAGTGCGGCGCGGACTTCTCGGAGAACGCGGAGACGTCCTCCTCGTTGCCCTGTTTGCGAAGGACGCGCAGTAGGCCAGCTTCGTCGGCGGGCCATTGGTGCGGCTGGCCGCACCTGAAGGGGTCGTGGAAGACGACTCACACTTAGATGCATGACTCGCACCTGATGATATGTCCAGCCCGGGGGTTGCCGGGGAATCCTGGGGGCTCCTGGGGGGCCCCGCGGACTCCTGTGGAATCCTGTGGAGGCTGCGCGCTCCTTCGGCTGAAACCGTTTCAGAAACGTCTGTTTTCCCGAGCCGGACGCCCCTGATGCGTCGAAAACCAATGGTGTTTGAAAGATTTTCTGTTCCAGCGCACGCGTTTGAAGCCAGAGACGCGCGGTTCTCAACCGCGATGACGAATAAAATGTTTAAAAGCCCTCGGGGTTTTGAGCGTCCGGGAGCGTCCGCCTGGAGAAAACACAATGTTTTTCTTTGGATTATCTTCTTACAGGAGATGCTGGGGGGACCAGAGAAGGCTGGTATCTGAGTTTTCTTTGAAAAATCAAATTTCGGAACCAAACTCAGGAATCGGAGCGAGGGCTCGAGGCCCGAGGGCCCAGGCAAGAAGTCGCGGGGGGAGGGTTCCCTGAGGGGGCAGGGGGAGAGAGGTCAAGAGTGTGGTAGCTCCTTTCGGGTCTCCCGCGTGCCGATAAGACAAGCGGATAGAGGTAGGCTGGTGCACGTCGTCCGGGGCCACGGTCAGGAAGGAGCTGAAGGGGCCGAACCTCCTCTGTAAATCGTAGAGCTTGGTGGTTTCAGAAGCTCTTTCCTCACCGCTCCAGGGGATGGTCTTACCAGATGACGTCACGAACCGGAGCACTTGCTTTTGTAGCGCCCGGGCCTCTGTGCTGGTGGGATCTGCCTTCGCGCGGTCCAGTCGGTCGAGGTAGACATCTTTGTCGGCGACCATGTCTGCGAAGGCTTTGAAGCTGAAAGGGTCCGTCTTCACGCGCAGAGCGACCCCCCTGGCAGCAGCGTGGCGTTGTATTTGGTTCGCAAGCAGGAATATGAAATTGTGGCAATGGGCGAAGCCGTTGTGGAACTGGGTGAGTATGTGTCTGGACTCGTGTATGCTCAAGGGGCCCTGGGAAACCAAGCCGGCCCGCAACGGAAAGAGGAACCAGAAGGCGCCGTACAGCAAGTCGGCGTTGTTGGTGAACTCGTTCATGGGGCGCTTCAGTCGTCGGCACTTCGCGGGTGGCGGGCCACAGGCGGAGGCGTGAAAGGGTGGGCCAGCAGGGGTGGCATCCAGTTGCTCTTGGCGTTCGTCGTGGATGTCTTCGGGGTCGGCGCGGCTGGACGCTCGAAGGGTGTCTACGAGACCATCAAAGATACTGCCAGCCACGGCGTCGCTGGATTGCAAGAAGACGCCAACTGGGTCCAAGGACAGCGTGGGCTCTGCGTGAATGTCGCCCTGGGGCTCGGTAGGTTGTCCGAGGACGGTATCCTGTGGATCGCGATTCCACTGAATCTGCGCCTGCACGCTTCGGGGCCCATTGTGCAGGGCCAGGGGCAGAAACTGGGCGGAGGTGGCGACGTGGTAAAAGGGAAAGGTTGCGAAGTCGGGGGGAGCTCGAGGAAGCAGGGAGCAGGAGAGCGCAGTGTTGTTCGCCGCCCCCAGGGGGGGGGGCTCGGGCGGCCAACGAAGCATGAACGCGCAGGTTCGGTGGAAGAGTGGAGGCGTCCTGGTGGAGGTCGTCCATGGCGACGTCCCTGACGTTGGCGATATCCGATGGCCGGCTGGCCTCTTCTACGTCGTCTGTGTCCGCGTGACGGGAGCGAGCTGACAGAGAAGCAGACCAGTCAGCCAGCAAGGCTGCGACGTGCGCAATCGGAGGGGATGCGTCTGTGGAGGCCACGTGTCCGAGGGCGCGGCGTAGCGAGAGGTGGTTGTAGAGTACATGGGGTCGCATCTGCACGCTCTTCATGGAAAGAGCGTGGCGTTCGAGGTTGGTGACTCGGTCGGTGTTGCCGACGTAGACCACCTGGATGTGCTCCAGTACGTTGCGGAGTCGGGCGGCGTTGAACTGGGCTTCGATGGCGGTGGGCCCGTCGTGGACGAATGCGATCATGTGGCCCTTGAGGACAGACCTAGATGCTGCGCTGGAGCGCTGTCCAGGGACATATATTTTGGCCACGAGGCTGTAGAGGCGCACGTCTGCGAGGGCAAGGGCTTCAGCCTCGGAAGGAGTTTCGAGCCCGATTCGAGAAAGCAGCCCGAAATCCCGTCCCGAAGCCAAGGGTCGCGAAGGCGGAGCGGCCGCCGGATCCGACAGCGGCCGCGCGCAACTCTCGCATAGAAACGTCTCGTGGCCACCGTCCGGCATGGTGCGCGTGAGCTCCGGGTGCAGGTGCAGCCTCGCGGAGGCGCCGATGGAGACATAGCTGCGGATGCTTTTGGTCTCGACGGTGCGCGTGGAGCCGTCGGCCTCGCAGAAAGTCACCGCAGGCATGGCGTCCAGGTCTCTGCATTCGTCAGGCGTGAGGAAGAGCCAATGGTCGGGAGGCAAGTCTTCGAGCCGAACGCGCTCCGTGGCAGGGAACGCAGGGTCGCGGCGACCGCAGGAACCGCATCCAGGGAGAGGAGCGGCATGATCCATCTTCGCGGAGTAAGCTCGGACCATTCTGCGTTGGTCGTCGGCCGTAACGGTACAGAAAGTGCGAACGTCGTTGGTTATCTGGTCGAAGAGGGCGTCGTCAGAAGGTGGCGCCGTCGCGGCGTCCCGATGGCGGAGCTGTCTGGAATGTCGTGACACCTGGTATCCAGATTCAGAATGTAGTCGTTCAATGAAGTCCAGCGGCGTGGCGTCGCCGGCAGTGGTCGTTGCAGGAGCAGCTGCTCGCCTCGTGGCGCTTCGGACAGCCTCCGGGTGGGATGCAGGGGCGCCTGCAGTAGCTGCCGCGGCTTGCGCGGCGGTGATAGCAGCTCGCCTCTTGGCGCTTCGGGCAGCCTCCGGGTGGGGTGCGGGGGCGCCTGCAGTAGCTGCCGCGGCTTGCGCGGCGGTGGCAGCAGCGCGGCGCGCCTTCTCTCGGGCTGCTTCTTTGGCGGCGTACGCAGCGTTGCGGCGCCGCTTGCGTGGGGCAACGTCTGGCTTGGATAAGAGGGCTGCAGTGGGGGCGGCAGCGGGACGACGTCGCGCCACACTGCGGGCAGGCCGCGGAGGGAGCGCGGAGCCCGCGGCCGGCCGCTTCCTCACGACGGAAGGCGGCATGGTGGAGCCAAAACGGCTACAGAAAGAATCGCCACGGCTATGGAACCCCCCACGGCGCTTGCAGAGGTAAGGGTGCGTTGGGCCCTGTCGCATCCTGCGAAGAAAGTCGCCGGCCCCATGGGCCACGGGCGTGCTAAGATCTCCGGGAACTGCTTCCGAATATTTCTAGTTCGCGCGCGCGCGGGGGGGTCCCTGGGGGTCCCCAGACGAAAAGTACTCCGAGCCAGCCCTGGGCGAATCGGGTCAGAGATGGTGTTCCTCCTGGGCGCCGCCCTCAGGGCCACCTAAGAGCACGGTCGGTCGGAATAAGGGGACGGGGGCGCAGGGGGGGGGAGCGGGGGGGGGCACAGTCGGTCGGAATAAGGAGAGGAGTGCAGGGGGGAGCGGGGGGAGCGCACGGCGGTCGGAATAATGGGAGGGGGCGCAGGGGGGGGGAGCGGGGGGGGGGGGGGCACGGTCGGTCGGAACAAGGGGGGGGGGCAGGGGGAAGCGGGGGGGGGGGTGCCCACGGTCGGTCGGAATAAGGGGAGGGGGGCGCAGGGTGGGGGGGGAGCACACGGTCGGTCGGAATAAGGGAAGGGGGCGCAAGGGGGGAGCGGCCCACGGTCGGTCGGAATAAGGGGAGGGGGGCGCAGGGGGGAAGGGAGGGAGGGCACGGTTGGTCGGAATAAGGGAGGGGGGCGCAGGGGGGGAGCGGGGGGGGGGGGGCGCGGTCGGTCGGAACAAGGGGAAGGGGGCGCAGGGAGGGAACGGGGATGGGCCCATGATCGGTCGGAATAAGGGGAGGGGGGCGCAGGGGAGGAGCGGGGGGGGAGGGCCCACGGTCGGTCGGAATAAGGGGAGGGGGCGCAAGGGGGGAACGGGGGGTGGCCCACGGTCGGTCGGAATAAGAATAGGGGGGCGCAGGGGAAGAGCGGGGGGGGTGGCCCACGGTCGGTCGGAATAAGGGGACGGGGGCGCAAGGGAGGAGCGGGGGGGGGCCCACGGTCATCGGAATAAGGAGAGGGGGGGGGAGGAGCGGGGGCCCACGGTCGGTCGGAATAAGGGGAGGGGGGCGCAGGGGAGGAGCGGGGGGGGTGGCCCACGGTCGGTCGGAATAAGGGGACGGGGGCGCAGGGGGGGAGCGGTGGGGGGGCCACGGTCGGTCAGAATAAGGGGAGAGGGGCGCAGAAGAGGAGCGGGGGGAGTGGCCCACGGTCGGCCGGAAGAAGGGGACGGGGGCGCAAGGGGGGAGCGGGGGGGGGCCCACGGTCGGTCGGAATAAGCGGAGGGGGGCGCAAGGGGGGAGCGGAGGGGGTGGCCCACGGTCGGTCGGAATAAGGGGAGGGGGGCGCAGGGAGGGAGCGGGGGGGGTGGCCCACGGTCGGTCGGAATAATGGGAAGGGGGCGCAGGGGAGAAGCGGGGGGGGTGGCCCACGGTCGGTCGGAATAAGGGGAGGGGGGCGCAGGGGGGGAGGGGGAGGGGCCAGCACGACCACCAGCACGATCACCAGCACAACGGCCAGCAACACGACCGCGAGCACGACCACCAGCACGACCACCAACACGACCACCAGCACCTCCAGCACGGCCAGCCACCAGCACGACCACCAGCAGAACCACCAGCACGACCACCAGCACGACCACCAGCACCTCCACCAGAACGGCCACCAACACGACCGCCAGCACGACCACCAGCACAAGCACCGGCACGCCCAGCCACCAGCACGACCACCAGCACAACCACCAGCACGACCACCAGCACGACACCAGCACGACCACCAGCACCTCCACCAGAACGGCCACCAACACGACCGCCAGCACGACCACCAGCACAAGCACCAGCACGACCACCAGCACGACCACCAGCACGACCACCAGCACGACCAGCCACCAGCACCTCCAGCACGGCCAGCCACCAGCACGACCAAGCACGACCACCAACACGACCACCAGCACCTCCAGCACGGCCAGCCACCAGCACGACCACCAGCACAACCACCAGCACGACCACCAGCACGACCACCAGCACGATCACCAGCACCTCCACCAGAACGGCCACCAACACGACCGCCAGCACGATCACCAGCACAACCACCAACGCGACCAGCCACCAGCACGACCACCAGCACAACCGCCAGCACGACCACCAGCACGACCACCAGCCCAGCACGACCACCAGCACGACCACCAGCACGACCAGCCAGCAGCACGACCACCAGCTCGACCACCAGCACTTCCCAGCACGACCACCAGCACAAGTACCAGCACGACCACCAGCACGACTGCCAGCACCTCCACCAGAACGGCCAGCAGCACGACCACCAGCACGACCACCAGCACGTCCACCAACCACGACCACCAGCACGGCCGCCAGCACAACCACCAGCACGGCCGCATTATGGGCACACGGTCGGTCGAAATAAAGCAGTGCGAGATCACACCGGTAGGTATGATGATAAAGGGTTCCGTGGCCCAGGGGGGCTACCGTGGGAAGCGTGGACAGGGGGGGGGCGAGGGGACGAACGACACGACGAACGACGAAAATAAAGGGTTCCGTGGCCCAGGCGGGCTACCCAGGGAAGCGTGACAGGTGGGGGCGACCCTGGGAAGCGTGGACAGGGGGGGGGGGCGAGGGGGGCGGGAGGGGGGCGAGGGGGACGAACGACACGACGAACGACGAAAATAAAGGGTTCCGTGGCCCAGGGGGGCTACCCTGGGAAGCGTGGACAGGGGGGGGGGCGAGGGGTACCCTGGGAAGCGTGGACAGGGGGGGGGGGCGGGGGGGGGGCGAGGGGGACGAACGACACGACGAACGACGAAAATAAAGGGTTCCGTGGCCCAGGGGGGCTACCCTGGGAAGCGTGGACAGGGGGGGGGCGAGGGGGACGAACGACACGACGAACGACGAAAATAAAGATGTCCGAGCTCTAGAGCACAGCTGTGCAAGAGAATAAAGGGTTCCGTGGCCCAGGGGGGCTACCCTGGGAAGCGTGGACAGGGGGGGGGCGAGGGGGACGAACGACACGACGAACGACGAAAATAAAGGGTTCCGTGCCCAGGCGGGCTACCCTGGGAAGCGTGGACAGGGGGGGGGCGAGGGGTACCCTGGGAAGCGTGGACAGGGGGGGCGAGGGGGGCGGGAGGGGGGCGAGGGGACGAACGACACGACGAACGACGAAAATAAAGGGTTCCGTGGCCCAGGGGGGCTACCCTGGGAAGCGTGGACAGGGGGGGGGGGCGAGGGGTACCCTGGGAAGCGTGGACAGGGGGGGGGCGAGGGGGACGGGGGGGGGCGAGGGGGACGAACGACACGACGAACGACGAAAATAAAGGGTTCCGTGGCCCAGGGGGGCTACCCTGGGAAGCGTGGACAGGGGGGGGGGGGCGAGGGGGACGAACGACACGACGAACGACGAAAATAAAGATGTCCGAGCTCTAGAGCACAGTTGTGCAAGAGAATAAAACATATTACTCCAAATATGCCAAACACATGCCCAAACAATTACTACAACGAAATCGTCCCCTCATTATTTTCAAACTATTTTTGAACATGTCTCCTGTAGAGGGACAGGCCAAACTTAAGCCGCCCTCCGGCGTGCTCCGCGCGCCAGGGAAGGGTCGGGGGTAACATTAGGGCCCAGGGTCGAAGAAGAAAAAACGCCATAGACATAAACGTTTTGAGCTCCACGCGGATTTTTTGGATCCGCGCTGGGCCCCCCTGGCGGCGACTCCGGCGCCGCCCCTGGCGCGCGGAGCGCGCCGGGGAGGGGGGTCCAGCGCGGATCCAAGAAATCCGCGCGGAGCGCCAACAGTTCATGTTTATGGCGCTTTTTCTTCTTCTTCTTCTTCTTCTACAGGGTGGGGGGATCGGCTCCGGGGCAGATGCATCTCACCGAGCGGGTGCCGCTACTCGCAGAGCGCCTGCTCGCAAACGTCGGCAAACGAACACACATGTCTGCCTCGGTGCAAGGTATCGCAGATCCACCCCATGACGGATCCATGCCATTCGCGAGCAGTTACAGTCGGGGCCCTGAAGAAGGAACCCTTTTCGTTGGGGAGGGGCTCCGTGTTCCTTAATTGTTTCGCAGCTTGCCTTAGATTTTCCTTAGGTTTTCGATACGAAATCGAACGTTAACAGACGGGAAAAAGGGGCCTCGTTCCTTATTTAGGGTTCCTTGGGTCAACGCCCCGCCGTTACTTGGCTCACCACCCACCAAACCACCCCAACCCAGCCCCAAGGCCTCAACCTGCCCTCCATTTCCAGCGGGGGGGGGGGTCAGGGAACCTTGCGAAAACACATGTGGAGCCCGTCCCCCATCCAGTGATCGTTTTTGTTCTTCATTGTTTTGCCGATCGGCACGGGCTCCCAAACCCCCCCTCCCCCCCATGGAGTAAATCTTGGCTGTTCTTTGGCGCCTGTTTCGAGCGGGTGGAGTTTCCCTCAGAGGCCGCACTCCTTCAAATAGGCGTACTAAGCAGAGATCTGGAGCCAGACCCCTCCCTCCCCCCCCTTGCCGCCCAATGTTCGGCGGTTGACAAACCTCCCTCTGGTAAACCTCTATCAAGTGAAAACGGTCTAGGACGGAAACCGACAGGCCTGGACTCACAAAAATGACGACCGCGACGCCCTCTCGCGAACCGAAAACGGCCAATCCGCGAATCGACGCGTCAGGGCAGGAGGTCTGTCAGCCTCCGAATAATGCCGAAACGCCGAGCAAGAAAACGCTCACGAACCCGAGATGCGGGTCATCGGGTTGCAGGGCTGAACCTAAACACTGTTTTCCTACTTCTTCCCATTTGTTTCCGTCTTACTTGTGTCTGATGTTGTGAGAGCGGTCCAAAGCACGTTTTCGCATGCTCTGAACGCCGGCCGTCGCGCCCATGCGCCTGGTAGGTGGGCTCCTCGGCGGGCAGCGGCACGCGCTCGCCCGGGCCTGTCAGGGCCCCCCCCAGGCGCTCACTGGGATCTGGACGCCCGAAATGGGTACGGAAAGAATGGGTACAATGCCCAACAGCAGTTCCTGTTCATTTTGGGCAGGACTCGCTGTCCACGCCGCCGCGGCCTGTGTCCATTTGAGCATTTGAGTCAGGAGGCCGCCTGCCCCACAGCGGCCGCTCTTGCTTCGGGACAGCATTTGTTGTTGGGCACTGTGCCCATTGTTTCCGTGCCCATTTCGGGCGTCCAAACACTGGGAGGTCGCCGAGGGTCAGAGCCCCGAATCATCAGGGGTAACTCGGGTCAGGGCTAACTCGGGCTCGTTTTTCGGGAATTCGAACCCGAGTTACCCCGGACCCGAGTTACCCCGGATATTTCGCGCGTCCAGAGCCCCGAATCATCAGGGGTAACTCGGGTCAGGGCTAACTCGGGCTCGTTTTTCGGGAATTCGAACCGGAGTTACCCCGGACCCGAGTTACCCCGGATAACTCGGGCGTCCAAACTTTGGGAGGTCGCCGAGGGCGGCCCGAGGGAGCCCGCCCCCCGCCCTCCGCCCGGGGCGCGCGCGGCCGCGCTCTCGGGGGCCGCGTCGGGCGCGCCCCCCCCCTTTCCGGAGACAATGTGACATCCTGGGGTCGTTTTTTTGAACCTTGTGAGAGATTTGAAAGTTTGTTTTGAGAATCCAGATGTTTTGAGCTCTGCAGTCGATCCTTGCGCGCTCGATGGTGCCATTCTCGGGGCTGCAGGTGCAGTGTATCTCACCACCCACCAAACCACCCCAACCCAACCCGAAGGCCCAAATTTATCCTCGATTTCCAGTGGGGGGGGGGTCGGGGAACGTTGAAAAAACACATGGTATCCGTACCCCCCCCAACCCGAAATTCGGGTCAAATTCGGGTCTTCGGGTTGGGTTGGGGTGGTCTGGTAGGTAGTCAGTATCGATCAAAAGATCTCCCGGAACCGATGTCATATAGGACTGCTCTCGGGCGGGCGCAGGGCCCCGTGCAGCCCTGGCCTGGTGTCGGGCACGTCCCTCTGCGGGAGGAGTGGTCAGAAACGGTCGGAAGAGTGGTCTGGGGACGAGTTTTTTTAAACTGTTCTGGGCCATTTGGGAGTATTTCCCGGGGCCCCTTCACGCTGGGAGGTCGCCGAGGGCGCAGGGCCCCGTGCCGCCAGGCCTGGAGTCGGGCACGAACCTCTGCGGGAGGAGTGTTCAGAAATGGTCAGGAAAGTGGTCTGGGGACGAGTTTTTGACTGCCTTGGGCCACTCTGTCACCACCCACCAAACCACCCCGACCCAACCCGAAGGCCTCAGATTTGCCCTCCGCTTCCAGTTGGGGGTGGGGTCGGGGAACATTGGAAAAACACATATGGAACCCGTACCCCCCCCCCCCCACCCGAAATTGGGGTCTTCGGGTTGGGTTGGGGTGGTCTGGTAGGTAGTCAGTTTGGAGTATGTCTCAATGTTTTTTATGTTTCGTCGAACATCCGCCTGTAGGGGGACATGCCCGACCTAAGCCAGGCATTGGGCTGAAGTCTGGCCAAGCTTTGGGCTGTGTGTTCCCCCGGCCGTCGTGGAACGCCTTGGGGGAGGAGAACTGTTGAGGAGAGGGAGAAGACATAAGAAGGAGGATTATGAGGAGGACGAGAAGGATCAGGCGATCGCAAACATGGATCAAGGGGGCGTGGATTAGCGACGGGTCCCGTTTCCTTGGGAACTCGCGGATTTCCGCCGCCGATCGAGGCGGCCGCGGCCGCATTTTTGAGGAGGGCGCCTCCCCCGATCCATGGAGTTGGCGACCGCGCGCCAAATCCATGGATCGCTAATCTATGTTTGCGCGCCCCCGATATTCGAGAATAGTGACAAAAATCGTCTGGGGGCCAAATTTTGCCTACGTTTGGCTATTTCTTAGATTTTGTTGGCCATTCTGAAGTTTTTCGTTTCGAACATCAGCCTGAAGGATTAAGTCGTGCCTGTCCCTTGACAGGAGGCATCTTCAAACATATTTAAAACATAGTTCTCGGGCGATGTTTTGACCACGTTTGGCTATGTCTTAGCATTTGTGGCTATCATTTTTGTTTTTCGTCTCGAAAATCCGCCTGTAAGATTCAGTCGGGCCTGTCCCTTTGCAGGAGGAATATTCAAAAACAGTTTAAAAAGTCTGGGGACGATTTTTGTTTCAAGTCTTCTTGGATCCTCTTTTTAGGCAGTGCTTGACTATTTGTTGATCTTGCGTCCAAGATCCGCCTGTAGGGGGACTCTCGACCCAACTGCAGGAGGACGTGCCCGACCTAATCTCAGGGGCCTGTCGCCGATCCGTCGATGACGTGTCGCCGAATCCAGGTCGACCTCCCCCCCTCCCGGGGGCGGTGCCCCCCTGGCGTTGCCCTCGAGAGGGGTGTGGAGCAGGGGAGCCTGGCGCCGGCGCCAGAGATCCGCGCGGACCTTCGCGAGCTCATGTCTACGGTAGGTTCATGCGGCGTTGGCGCGCGAGCGACCCCTGCGAATGCGTTCAAGGTTGAAGTCCGCGACGCGGCAGCACCGATGGACACGGTAACGCCAGTAGACCCGACGGGATTCAACCTTGAACGATTGGGGTCGCGATCGATTCAAGGTTAAGGATCGACGCGGTGTCAAGAACCTTTGCGCGTGCCCACGCCGCGCGAAGCTACCGTGTGCAGTTTCTTGAGTTCTACAGGTGTCGATCTTGAATTCCGTCGACCTCGCAATGCATGGCGAGGCGGCCGTCGTGCTCGGCCAGGACGGCGTTGACCCGGACCGCTTCCAGGTGCGGGTCGAGAAGAGCGGTAAGGTGATGGCGGTGAAGCGGACGAATTTGACCCCATTAGGTGGTAAAATAGAGTTGGACGAGGTGGAAGTCTTGAGGAAGCCGCTCAAGGAAAGATTCTTCTCGGAGCTCCGCAAGCTGTTATGGAACCAGACAGAGGAGTCCATCGCGATCGCCACGCTGGCCTCGGAGACGGTGGCGCAGCAAGAACTGAACAAGCCGTTCAGCATTTGGTCTAGGATGTGGCAGGCGTGGGTAGCCCTCCGGGCGACGTATCCCAACCCGCCCCAGATGTACGACTGCCTGCAGGAGGCTCCAGGCCAATTCGCGCACCTCGAGGATGAGGAAGGCTGGGGCGTCGTGGCGCTCACGGACCTCAGTAGACAAATGCTCATCAGAGAAAAAGTCCCTGAGCCTCCGACGAAGAAGCGCAAAGTTGTCGCGGAGAACCCCAGGGGTAAGCTCGATGACATGGCCCGAGCGCTCTACAACGCGATGACCATGGTTGGCCCCAAGGGCACGTTTGCGCACGTCTCAACGATCGGTTCGGATGTCACCGTCAGAAACCTACGCAACGACAAGTGGTTCGGGGTTGGGAAGAAGAAGCGGAAGATAGAGGACATGCTCAGAGAGTACCCCGAGGTCTTTTACCTCGAGATGCGCGACGGTGCTATCATGGTGAGCCTGACCGAAGACGCAGAGGTTAGGGGGCAACTACAAGAGGGGGGCCCAGCTCAGTGTACAAGAGGGGGGCCCAGCTCAGTGGGGGAAACATCTCCGATAGATCGGCAATATGCCCAGGATGGCGATCCGCACGTTCCTGGGCGGGGTGGGCCATCGGGCTCATATCGGCGATGAATGATTACTTGGGGGTCGATGCACCCTCCCCTGAGCCCATCCTGACGTCGCCACTGATAGGTGGCGCTGCCGCAGCGGTCCGCCGGGGACTGCTCCGCCGCCGGCAGCGGGGACGCGCTTCCCAGCCCGGATCAGGGGAGGCTCCCGGACAGGATACGCCCGAGGAACAGGCTCGAGAACGCACAGGCTCTGCGCATCGAGATCAGCTCGAAGGACGAGAAGCTGCACAGGCACAGGCGGTCGGCGCTGCGTGCAGATTTCCTGGAACTGCGCTGGAACCGCCTCGCGGCGCCTCCGGCGCCGATCCAAGAAGTCCGCGCGAACCTCCGAAAGTTTGTGCTTGCACAACTTCTGCTTCTTTTGTCATCCACGCGCTGCACCGGCACAACGGGCTGTCAGAGGTCGGCATCCTGGGCCAGGACCCCGCCGTGCAGCAGGCTCGGAAGGGCCTGGAGGGCGTCAAGAGCACCAAGTTCGTGGACCTGTGCCGGATCTTCCCCGACAACTTCAGCATCGTGTTGGACGAGCAGATGAACAAGTGGATGGTCTCTTTGGCGTCCCGGGACGTCTCCGATTGGACCCCGATCACCGACTGGGTGAAGGGGAAGCCCTCGAGGGCCCACATCGAGGCGAGGCAGCAGCAGATGGTGCTGAGGGCGCGGATGGCGTCGACCGGCATCCTCCCCCCAGACGACGACGTGGAGAACGTGGAGGCCGAGGCTCGAAGAAGAAGAAACGACGGAGGAGGAGGAGGAGGAGGAGGAGGAGGAGGAGAAGGAGGAGGAGGAGGAGGAGGAGGAGGAGGAGGAGGGAGGAGAGCGAGGACGAGGAGGAGGAGGAGGAGGAGGAGGAGGAGGAGGAGGAGGAGAGGAGGAGGAGGAGGAGGAGGAGGAGGAGGAGGAGGAGGAGGAGGAGGAGGAGGAGGAGGAGGAGGAGGAGGAGGCGGAGGAGGAGGAGGAGGAGGAGCAGGGGGAAGAGCAGGGGGAAGAGGAGGAGGAGGAGGAGGCGGAGGAGGAGGAAGAGGGAGGGCTCCTGCATCGGCACAACACCCCCCTGCCTGGCGCGCGGAGCGCGCCATGAGCGCCGCCGCCCGGGGGGAGTCCAGCGTCCATCCAAGAATCGACGGGGACGCCAGAGGCGAATAGCCCAGGGACTGGCATTGCACGTGCTCGCCCGGGGGGGGGGAGGCTCGCCGAAGGCATGGACCATCTGCGCCCCTGGATAACCTTGTGCTGCTCTCCCCTGGGCTGTTCGCCAAGCACCCCTGCTTCTAAGGAGCCTTCCCCCCTCCCCATACCCCCTTCTGCGCGCCGCCAAAATAGAATTACAAAGCCCATGGTTCACTAGGGATTGGCTACCCCCAGAAAGCGACGAAAACCCTTCCCAGATCCCCCCCCCGAAACCCTCCGAAAACCCTCCGGGAGCCCTTGCTGGAGGGTTTCCGAGGCTTCGGGAGGGCCGGGGCTGTCCTGAAAGGAAAGCAGCCCTTAGCGAAGCCTGGACTTTCTGAGCTTCGAAGGCGGGAGGGCTTCGCAGAGGCCCACGGGCTTCTCAGAAGACCCCCCTCGCGCCACCTCTTTGGATAAGACCCCCGACGCTATGATATTTCTGTCACGACGTGGATGGACCCCCTGCAGCGGTCTGGACCCATGCCCCGGGACTTGTTTTTCATCCCGGTCGTTTCGTTGGCAGTCCCGGGGCCCGGCGAAGGCTCTCAGTGGCCAGGCGCAGACCCTGTCGCGTTCTGAAAAATTCGCGACGGGAGGTTTCTCATTGTCTTCGGCTTCCAGGGGGCCCTTACCGGGCCTTGGAACCGTCCAAGAACGACTCGGGATGAAAAACCGGTCCTGGGGGGAACGGTCGAGACCTCTGGGGGTCGACGTCGTGAAAAAATCACCACGTCAGGGGTCCGGGGAGAGCGTCCAGCGATCTTTTCTCTGACATCTTAAGTACAATGTTCAACCCAGTGCCAATGTCTTAACTGGGAGACTTTTTGCGCAAGAAATAAACCATCCCGCAAATACATGCAATATACATAGCACATCGTTGTTATTTAAACCCGTTTTATCTTATTCTACATGTATTAACCTTAGGTCGGGCATGTTCCCCTACAGGCGGATTTTGGGCGAACAAATACACGGAAAATGCACTAAACATATATGCAACAATTGTTAAACAAAAATCCCCCCCGATTATTTTTTTTACCAGTTTTGAATACTCCTCCTGTAGGGGCGGGCCCGACTTCGTGTCGACCATAGACTGCAGTAGTTGGGCTGGCCCATGAGATCCTGGCGACTCAATTTTTTCGAGCCGGGCGTTTTCGCCTTTTTTCGGGTTCGGGGCCCTCATAGATCGATCAGGCTCGAAAAATGACGCAGAAAGACAGGGTCCGGGGCTCTGGGCGCGGCTTTTCACGGTGTTGCAATCTTTACGCTACGCCGGATCTCAGGGGCTTCTGCGCGCCGCCTTCAGTCTGGACGCCCGAGATGGGCACGGAAAGAATGGGTACGATGCCCAACAGCAGTTCTTGTTCATTCTGAACAGGATTCGCTGTCCACGCCGCCGCGGCCTGTGTCCATTCGCGACAGAAGGCCGCCTGCCCAACAGCGGCCGCTGTTGGCTTGGGACAACATTTGTTGTTGGGCATTGTACCCATTCTTTCCGTACCCATTTCGGGCGTCCAAATCAGGTGGTGGACCCGCTGGCCGCCTCGCAGTTCTTCTGCCACGCCTGCGCCTCCCCGGTGCAGCGGGCCGCGGGCTTCTGCGGCCAGTGCGCGGCGGAGGTGCCCGCCGAGGGCTGGCTCAACGCCGGCGGCGACGAGCCCGGCGCGCCCGGGCCTGCTCCGGTGGGCCCCATGGGCAGGCCGAAGGTCGGGGGGCGGCCAAGATCGGGGGAATTCAGGAGCGAAAGAAGGACGTACATGTACATGAATCCACGCTGGTTTCGAGAGTGCGCATTGCGCGAATGTTCGTATCGCGCGGCAGGTCTCGCGGGTCAAGGGGCCGTGTTCATGTACATAGCTGGGCGCGTACGTCCTTTGTGGGCTCCCTAGGCTCCCGGGCCTGCGCCGGTGGGCCCCATGGGCAGGCCGAAGGTCGGTGAAGGGGCCCCAGGACACACAAATAAATACACAGAAAAACAAAATAGATTCCCGATTTTTCCCCTATGTTCTGGGTCTCCGGCTTCCCCCCCACTTCCCATAGTTTCCTATATTTTCTGGGGGATCGAGAATTAATTGTGTCTGTGTACTTCTTTTCCTCCTGAGTCGGGGCAGGCCGAAGGTCGGGGGCGGCCAAGATCGGGGGAACGCAAGACTCGGTAAGCCGGAACTCGGGTTTGCCGACGTTTTTTTGACGAGCGCGTCCTGGATTTTGACGGTCCAGTTTTCGTGGGATGTTTGCAGTGGGAGCTCGCGTCAAATTTCAGATGGTGTCTCGTCATTTTTATGATCGACCCCGTCAGGCCAACCCGCGTCCCCCGTACCCGAGTCTTACGTCTCCCCGACAAGAGGGGGGTGATGACGAGGGGGGGGGATATCATGGCGTGGGCCCGGAGATTTCCCCAGAGTGCATGGCGCCTCGTCTGAGTTCATGGCGGCCCTGGCCCCCCGCAAGGGCCGCGCAGATGCCGCCGGCCATGGTTTGCGCCCCCCCTCCTGGACGCCCCCCTCTTGGCCGCCCCCGGAAGGCGCGGGCGCCGGTGCCGGTGCTGCAGCAGTCGTGGCCGAAGGCGCAGGCGCAGTCGTGGCCGCAGGCTCGAGCAGTGCCGCAGCCTCCCGGCTTGCCTATGAAAGGCCCGCCAAAGGATGGTCTGAGAACCGCCTGGTGGTTTGCAAGAGGTGGTCTTGGAACGTCTCTGGCCGAGACGGTCGTGCTTGAACACCTCGGGCTTGTGTGTCTAAGAACCTGGTCTTGGTGCTGAGAACACTTTGGGGTTCCAAGTTCTGAGGGCATGTCGCGGTAGGCCTGTAGGCATGCTGGGACGGTCGGTCCCTGCTCAGCGCAGGCGCCGTCGTGGCCGCAGGCGCAGGGTGCGAGAAAGATGGGGCGGCCAGGTTGGGGCGACTTGGCATCGCTCGGACGTGTGCATTTTTCCGTCGGTGAGGACCATCGAGGAGCATCCTTGATCATTTGGCGAAGAAACCACGCACGGAACCAAAAAAACACAGGGAATGGACGTTCGAGCGATGGCGAGGCGATGTTCGCCCTCTGGGGGCCCTCGCTGGGTCCCGAGCCCTTCGAAAGACACGAGAGACCGACCGTAGGGAAATTGTCCAGGCTCCGAGGGTCCAGGCATCGAGCAAGTTTGAGCGCTGGACGTCTGGGAAAGCAAAGGGCAACGTTGGTCAGCCGCGCGCAGAAGGGGGGGAAACTGAGGCAAGCTAGGTGCGCTCGCGTCATATCTGACGTCGCACTCCTCCCTCCCATCCTTTACCATGGCGCAGATCTCCTCCCTGTTCGCACAATCGGATGTCGTAGCATGGCGTAGCAGTGCATGGCATAGCATGGTGTTGAAGATTTTCCGCGTAGTATGACATAGCATGGCGTGGCGACGCCCCCCAAATGAGAGGGGAGGCTTCTGCGGCCCAATAAATCGAAGACTCGACACCGAATGTGTAACCACTTCCGCTGATCGTTGGGAGGCCATTTTTGCGGGCCTATTTGGAAGGACCGAAAACCATGCCGTGGCATGGCACTGGAAATAATGACGCCAGCGCTGCGGCGGGAGCACGATTCGGAACGAACGGAAGCGCGGAAATGAGGCCAGCGCTGCAGGGGGAGCACGATTCGGAACGCGCGGTAGCCCGAAAATGAGGCCAGCGCTTCAACGAGAGCAGCATT